TGTTAAGGTCTCCTGTTAAAATTGTGGTATTGGATATTAGATTTTTCATGTCCATTAAGATTTGCTTTATATAGTTGGGTGCTCCCGTATTTGGTGCATGCATATTTATGAGTGTTACCTCTTCCTCTTGAATTTTTCCCCTAACCAGTATATAGTGGCCTTCTTTATTTCGCTTGATCATTCTTTGTAGCCAGGATTTTAACAGGGGCAAGTCCCACCTAAAAATCAGATTTCTAGCTTTTCTTGGAAAATTCAGATCTGCCACCTGGCAGAATCTCCTGGCGCCAGCCAGCTGGGGCTGCGCATCAGTGGTCCACACCTGCTGCCTTGTGCCAGCCTCACTCAGGCATGTGACCTGCATACCCTGCAGGAGCTCAGCAGGCACAAAAACCAGGGGCACAGTCGGGGCCAGGACCTAGGGCCGAGAGGATGCCCAGAGGTGCCCCAAGGCCCACCCTGAGCCAGCAGCCCCTGGCAGCCGAGAGCCCCAGGGAGAATTGTGCCCAACTGATTTCTGTTCTCTTCCGTCTCCCTGGCCCCAGACCAGTGCTGTGGACATCTTCTCTGCGGGCTGTGTGTTCTACTATGTGCTTTCCAGGGGCGGCCACCCCTTTGGAGACAGCCTCTGTCGCCAGGCCAACATCCTCCTAGGCACCCCCCATCTGGCTCACCTGGAGGAAGACACCCACGGTGAGAGACTTGGACCCACCACGGGCAGTGGGACAGGCCTGAGGCCGGGCAGGCCTGAAGCCACCCTCTCCTCTGCCCTCAGACAAGGTGGTGGCCCGGGACCTGGTTGAAGCCATGTTGAGCACGCTGCCACAGGCCCGGCCCTCTGCCCTCCAGGTGCTGGCCCACCCGCTCTTCTGGAGCACAGCCAAGCAGCTCCAATTCTTCCAGGTCAGAGGGAAATCCTAAGAGTGATTTTCAGTAACATGTTTGGGTCTCAGTGGCTGGGGGAGGGCTGCAGTGACTTCCTGGCCCAGGGAGCGTGAGCCCCCGAGCCTCACAAGCACTATCTGGTACCACACATTTCCACCATTCTGGCCCAGCTGCCCTGTATAGGCACCCATCCGCCCTCCTTTCCTCCCACTGTCCTTATGCTGAGAGTGCACTCATCTGCAGAGACAGCAGGGGCTACCTCCTGGGTGGTCGCAAATGTCATGGAGGCCCACACAGCTTGTGCTGTCCCCCACCCCAAGCCACACTGGGTCTCAGGGCATCTGGCCTCAAGACTTAGGAACTCTGTGGGGTCCTAGGATGTCAGCGACTGGCTGGAGAAGGAGTCGGAGCAGGGGGCCCTGGTGAGGGCGCTGGAGGCAGGGGGCGACAAGGTGGTCCGGGACAACTGGCACCAGCACATCTCCATGCCGCTGCAGACAGGTGGGGCTACACCCAGCGGGCTGGGGCGAAGCCAGACTTGGCTGGGACTACTCTGCAGCCCATTTCTCTGCCCACAGACCTACGAAAGTTCCGGTCGTACAGGGGGACATCAGTGAGAGACTTGCTTCGTGCCATGCGGAACAAGGTGTGTCCCAGGGCCAGGGTGGGGGCCGGACATGGGCAGCCCCAGCACACTGAGTGTGGCCCTGCCTCTTTCCCACTCCTGCAGAAGCACCACTACAGGGAGCTTCCGGCCACCGTGCGGAGGGCGCTGGGCCCCATGCCGGACAGCTTTGTGGGGTACTTCACCAGCCGCTTCCCAAGGCTGCTTCTCCACACGCACCGCACCATGAGGAGCTGCGCCTCCGAGGGCCTCTTCTCATCCTACTACTCGCCAGCCTCCAAGGCCATGGACCTCTGTCAGGCGGCCAGGCCTGTGGCCAAGGATGGCCCGTTGTGAGGAAGACAGGAAGGGCCAGGCAGGCCCAGAGGCCCCGGCACCCTCAGGGAACATGCGAAGAAAAGAAGATTTACATGTGTTTAATGTGCATAAAGCTAGGCAAGAACAGTCCTGGACTTGGGAATTTCGCTCTGTACAATTCATGAGGTGGGCGGCAGGGCAGGGCAGGGCAGGCCACAGAGCCCACACAGAACATGTACAAATAACTTAGCAGCCCACGTGCGCTGACCTGGCTCCTGCCCAGCCCTGGGCCAGGGCACGCCCTCGGGCAGAAGCAGCCCTCCGAGCCCACCAGGCAGGCCCTGGGAGAAAGGGGCACCAGTCCACCTGGAGCGGGCTAGGAGGAGGCCTTGAGCCGGTTGCAGGCCGAGCGCGAGCTCAGCAGCTTGTCCACCATGGTGCGGGCATAGCGCAGGCGGCTGGCCAGCTCCCGGCAGCAGCCGTGCTCCTCGAGGAGGCTCAGGCGGTATGTGCGGAAGTCCCGCTTCTCGTCAATGTAGGTCACAGCTGCCATCAGCGGGCACAGGATTAGCTTGGTGTGGTCCTGGAAGGGTGTGGGGGGGGACTAAGAGCCTGCCTGCCGCTGCTGGGGGGGGAGGGGGGGAGGCAGGCACCATGCCCGCCCGCCCTCCCTGCCCGCACCCAGCCCTCCTGCACCTGTCTACCTGGAAGAAGTTGATCTGCACGGTGCCGTTGCTGAGATGCAGGATGATGGCGCTGCGCGTGCGGAACCAGGTGCGCAGGTAGGGCAGCCGGGCCAGCTCGTCACCCTCCCGGGGCGTGATGTTGGCACCCGCCTTCAGCAAGTGCTCGCTCATGTAGTTGCGGAAGTACTTGAGGAGGGTGATCTGCTTGGGCATGGGGGAGGGACTGCCATCAGAGCCCCTGCGGGCGGGACCCCACGTGCTCCAGGTCAAGCTGGCCCGCGGCAGGTGCTCACCTTCTTCATCAGGGAGTTGGGGTGGGAGCTCACAGTGAGGTAGGACTCCACGCCGTCGCGCTCTATGTACTGGAGGCTGTCCCCGTCATTGTAGAGGATGAGGCG